CGTTTGGTGTTTATGTCATTGGGTCCCAGTTTCTCCTTAAAAGAACCGTTGAACTGTATCGGGACATTTTTGGTTATATCAGTTATTTCGTATCGTAACGGCCAGCTTGTTTTATCATATAGGCATCAACGTAATCACTCCTATAATATCTATATACATGATTGTCGTACTATAGCGTTCTATTTATGACTATAATGTTAGACATGGTATATATCGGTTCGTCACTCCAGACAGCTTCTCATCAAACTAATGTTGCTATGAAGCATTTTAATACCGACAAATCAATATTGGTATAAATTGCATATCTATTAGATAATTGAAATTCTATACATAATTTATGTCTCGAAACATGATCTTTCGCGGCCAGTAATACCATTTTAGATTAATTGATTTTTTCTTTATCTTCTTTTTTAATCTTTATATAAATGTCATTGATTACTTATAGGATTGTGTTGTGATAACGCCCAAGAAATACTAATAGACAAATATTAACTAAGAATCAATAAACCGAGGGCCAGACTATCAACAAATGAATGATTTTCATTGTAAATCATTTGTGTTTCGGCGTCTTTTGTCATCTATGACACCGCGTGTAAACCTGTGCCAAATCCAAGTAATGTTATTCTCTACCATGAATATACTGTACAAAGAATGACTATTTTAATAGACTGATATCGAACTTCAACAAAGAAACTAGTATTTCCAAACAAAATAGCTTTCTGACCGTTTGAACTCATTTATCTTTATCAACAATCCGGAAAGACGGGAAAATGTGTTAAAATTGAAGAAAAAAAAATAGAATACTGATTCAGTTGTGGAACTGATCGGAGAGTGAACAGACTGCATGCTTTATTGAAAGTTTATCACAGAGCTTTGAATGTGATCTTATTTGTCATTCAGTTTAATGGTGAAGATTCAGTAGTATGTAGGGCTGCGTCAAAATACTTTTTCTCTATTTTATATCTTTCGCATGCTAACATGCTTTAGACTCTCAAAGCTCGATCCTTATCTCCAAATGGACCGTACAACTACACATTACCCATATGTTGTGCTTTTATAATCGAAATTTTGAATTTCCTTCTGACTTTATCACCACTATTCCTGCTTTTCACACAATAGTACATGTACATGTCTGTTTGGCTTAGGACTGTTATCTACTTTTCCATCCCGAGATACGTTCATATCGTTCCTAGTAATGACAACACAATCATTTCATTTGCAGGTAGTTTGGCTATGTGTTGGAGTTTGGTGTATAACGGTGATGGTGAGTGATGCGCAGGCCCGCCCCAGTCTCGCGCTGACATGTGACCACCGTGAGGTGCGCGAGTCCTGCCTTTACGGCTGTCTGGGCTGTCTGGAGGTATTCGGGGTACAACTGTATGACATGGCGGCTTGTTGTCATGACTGTAAGGTGACCAGGGCGGTCCTTGTGGATGACGGTCCTGTCAGATGTTCGGACAAATACATACACGAATCCTGGATCAAACGCTTCGGTAAAAGGAGAAGGAAATACCGAAATTACGGCAGGGGATCGTTGTCATGGTAACAGACAAATTACTAATCAGTATCAACGTATCAACAGCTGATTTGTGTGGAAGTTTAAAGTACACAAAATAGAAACCACTATCAGTTGAGTCCGTCTGTCTCCCATGAGAACAATTTGATCTCAATAAACGAACTGGAGTTGGTGGAGCTTAACTATGATACCATCAAGTCATCAGTCGAATTTGTTTCCGTCATATGATCAATGAATAAGTCAATTGAATTATAAAGACATTAGAAATCGCCGTCCGGACTTAATGTGCAATGGTATGTCGAATAGCGCGAAATGTTTCAACAAATTTGTACATATAGATTAACATTTTATTTATTAAGAAGTTATTTTTAAATTAAAACGTCCAGTAAACCAATCGTATTTTCAGATTTATTTTTTCATTTATGTTTATTTCAGTCATGCGGTCGTTATTTATGAATTTGCAGTTTTTGTAATAATAAAGGTAATTGTTTTTCGATACATAATGAGCTGCGTGTGCACGATGTAGGCACACACTGTGTGATGTGAAAATCCCATTTCTTGATTGATATTTTAAATGTTGTTAGATATAAACCATATATTAATGTTTTAACAAGCATCCAACACGTGACCAAGGTGTATACCTATCAAGTGACGCCGTAAATGGTGCTCATATGCATGCTACATTGTCGCATGCCCTGTGGGCACATCACGTACACAGATGTGAAAATGTCAGTTTGACTTGACAGGCTCCATTGACAGAGTTCATTATCAGTTGTAGTTTAAAATCAAACTGACCTGTCCAATCACCGAACAACACCTTGATTTTTTTTCATTCCAGTCCATAATATCAGTTGGCTAATCGTAACAAAATAATCTGTCTGTGCCATCGTATCGTGCATTGTTCGGGTGTACGAATGTACGAACCCTGCGCACACGATATGCGATCCTCAGCATACATCCATGTAAACATTGTTGGTTATCATATTTTACCTCGAGGTCGTATCTATTTACATCGTTACAAGATGGCAGTGCCCGTGTGCACTTTATCAATGACAACGAAATCGGCATTAAAAAGCATGAAGGATTGTCTCTCAAAAGGCAATTACTCTTAAAGTTGCATATTGGTTTTCAAATACTGAAATCATCTGGATTTCTCTACCAAACCATCCATATACATCCAAGAAACATACTTCAACTGCTTGAATAGTATGATAATGTAATTTTAGATTTCATAACCATTGCCTTGTGTGTGAAATCCGCGCGTAAAAACGGTCCAATATTCCGCAGTTACTGTTGGTGAAATTCCAGAAGCACATAATGTCAAAACAAGACTGTGTCAAAAAAATTGTCTCGAGTTTAATTTTTCAAGTATCTTGAAAGACATTTACCGTGATGTTTTAGAAGGTAATTTTTGACTAATGTCAAGTATCTTTACAACCGTAAGATATATACAATGTTGTGTAAATACCACTGCATGACACGTGTCTTAGAAATGTAGTTATATCATTACAGACGGTATGGTAGTGTTAGTCGTCGCCCTAATACAAAGTCTCCGAGAATTCATATTATATAGGTCTATATCATATAAGAGAGGCAGAGTATGTAAGTTTATCATATCTCTTCCAGTAAAAGACATATCCACAATAACACATTTTTTTGTATAAATTATATCGCTCAAATGGAATAAAACTGTGATTTAACCAAGTGATTTTATATCAGTTATTGAATACTGGTACTGTATAAGACCAACCAATTCTGATTAATCCATAAAGCTAATATAGCTTAACATGTAAATCCATGGGGAGTATATAGAAACGGATTGATTGATTTAAAATAACTATGAAAATATTACACTATTACACATTGTAAATATTGTTCATAGTTTTAGAAAAATATGAAATCACTTTTGAAATTTGTATATGTACCTGTCATTTCCATAAGATATCTTTTCCTGAAGTTGAAAACTTTGTTATGTGTTTGTAGTTTACTCGGTAAAATCCAGATTCCGCAGCGAATCTTAGTCTTTTGTCACCTTGATTTATTAAATAGGAAAATAGTTTCCAAAAGAATATAATACTAGACAATTACCATTGAAACTATCAAACATCGTTGAGACTCAGCCGTCTTATTCTGTTACAGATCCATAACAAACACTGATTTCACTCTTGACACGATGGATTTTGAAAATAAATCTTATCAAAATAAATCGAATTACTTTGTTCTGGGCAACATAAAATTTTGAATGTATTGTCTAGACCAATCGTAAAAACCAGTTAGTAAAGAATCCTTTGCTGCTGGTAGAAATTCCTCACAACTAGGGCGTATAATTCATATTATACGTTTAAAAACATATTCATATCATACGTCCCTGAGAACGACGAAATAGTTTACAAACACTATCAGCTCTCAGAGTTTAAGCCATAAAACGAAAATTTCAACATTGAAATTTTGTTCTTTTCTTTTTGGCCCAAACAGAATGCTCTCGGTTTTGTTGAAACTGTGTGTGGAAGACATTGAATTTACACTGGACATGTTCATTTTACGTACCGCCATCAGAACATGACACACAGCCATTGTTTCGGTAGTGTAGGGAGTTAAGTCAGCAAATAGCTATATGATAGGGAATTTAATGAGAGGAATTGTAGTAGCATACTCGAATTAACGAACTCTTGTTAATGTTTTGTATTTCATCTGTACTTTAAGTTATTTTAGCCACTTCCGGTCGACACCGATCTTTTATATTCATAAGAGTGGTCTCCCTTTAAACATGTTACCCGTGTTCCTATGTGTAAAAACAAATAATTGACACAGATTTTAACTGTCACGAAGGAAATTATAGGTGAAAAGAAATGCCTTCAGGGAGAAAAAGGAAAAATAAATGAATAAATAAACAAGTTAATAAGAAATAAGGAAGTGAAATCATATAGTAAAATCATGGTACGACCGATTACCGAGTACCTGTTTTTTTTTTTCTTTCTGGAATATTCTTGATTTTGAAATCATGTCACGTGTTGTTTACTCATTCCAAAAATTCCAATCTTGTGTATGTTTATCTCTCATTCAATAACTGTTCATTGGAAAAATAATTCTTATAGCAGATTTCCATCTAGTTAAAAGCAAGATCAAATGACTAGCTTGTTTATATAAATACGTAATTATAGGTAGAATACCTTCATTTCACAAAAAGTCGAAATTGGAAGAAATATTATGTTATAATATTGTTTACAACGCATAAAGATTTTCCAGTGTCTATAAATAGACAGGAGTGGCGTTTTATATATTTATATATATATAAGAATCTTTCGAGCCCATGACTGTTGGTCATTTGAGAGAGTACCTTTGACGGATAACACTTTGGATTCCAGAATATTTAGGAAAAACACATCTCTCATTCAACATCCTGGTTAAGTCGGATATAGAAGCCCAGTACCAGATAATAATATAGCTTCGGTATTTACGAGAGGAGACCGCTAAACTCTAGAGAATGACGAAGGACTTTCAGGTCGAACAGGTGACAATAGATGACGAGAGACTGGTGGAGGCTCAAAGAGTAGCCATGGAGACCGGGAAATTGACACCTCTCGTGAAGGAGGAGTTAAAGTACACTATACTCTCCCGAAGGGAGGCAGACGGGAAAGGTCAACTAGAGGTCATTTTTGATGACCCTCAGCAATACCAGGTATGTTCTGCTATTATCAATATAACTTGGTGGTTATTATTTGGAACGGTTCATTCAGCCATGTTTTACACTTCACAAATAATACACACTTCTTTTACACCCCCTCTCCCCCCCCCCTCCACAAAAAAATCTTTATATAACAACACTCATGTTAATAAAATGATATATATGTTTTGTTAGTTACATAGTTAGAATTCCTGTACAGTTACGTACCTATATAACTATGAATCGATAGGAATCTATTTTGGTAACTACCATAATAACTATAACTCTCATACACTGACCACTCCTGGGCGTAAGGAGTGGTAGATACGTAACGGTAACGAGGAACAATTATAGCGACAGGCAATACGTGCACGTGACATGACAAATGATAAGTTATGTATATCCATGATGCAAACGTACTTATTATTTTTTATTGATGAATTTAGTCACACTCTCCCTTTCACAGGGATGACTTGGTAAACAAATCAATAGTTGATGAAGGACACTGGAATACTTTCTATGTTTCAATTAACCTTGGTAAGATATCATCTTATTATCATTTAATTAGCTGTCCCAAGAGGAGGAGGAGAAAGTGGAGAGACGCAGACAGCAGAATAGGAATGCTGCCAGACGATTTCGTCAGAAACAAAAACGAACGTCACGAGAATTTATCAAGGTCGGAGGAATTTGTATGCCGTAAGGTGTCTCTGTCTAACACTTGTAATAAATAGTTCATTGGTTACCTTCTTTAACAGCGAACTATTGCGTTTGTGTGGTCATGTACGGTACATCACATCAATCAATCTAACCTTGTTTAATATTTTATTTTTGCTATATCGTTACACCATATGTATGCATTTCTTTCTTCCGCAGAAAATTCAGTCCCTGGAGTGCATCAATACTACGTTACGGTCCGAGCTCAGTGATTTAAGGCGAGAGAAGGATGAGTTAAAGAGCGAGCTTCACATTCATCTTCTCCACTGTCCAAGCCTCGGACTGGATCACGCCCCGGCATCGACGTCACTGCCTCGACAAATGACGACATAGTTACATGTGAATGTGGTATTGTGTGACATTTAACCACCACACAAAACAGCTGGTGCTCCATCGGTTGTGTGTCGACAAAAACCGTTTATAGCGACTTAAACTGTGTCTACATTAACAAATACAACTGACATTGACAAAAGCTACGCATATGTGTCGACGCAAACAGTCTACATCGACATAAACTACAGTGTATGTCTACATTGAAAAATGCATATGTACCATGTTTGTGTCGACACAAACAGTCTACATCGACAAAAACTGTCTACATTGACAAAAGAATTGTGTGTGTGAACCCATACTGTCTAGATCAATATAAACTAGATATCTACATTCACAAAAGCTGTGTGTATGTGTGTTGATAAAGACTGTCTACTTCGACAAAAACTATGTGTGTACCGTCACAAACAAATAGTTAACAATGCGCATGTCACCATTTACGTAACATTTTCCCTGGCAGATGCACGGATACATATTCCGGAGAGGAGGGATTTTCCTGTTGTTGTACATCAGAAGGAATCCTCAGTTAAAATATTATAAAATGTATTTTATTTTGCTTTCCTCACTAGATCTACCTATGATCAGATGATGTTGATCTCTCTTGCGCTAAATAAATGCATTATTATTATCACAAGCTGATACATTAAAGATGTAACAAACAACTTATTCATGATTATGTAGAATATGTTATATGTGCCATATATTAATACAATATTGTATGTTTTGTATACAAATCTGTACATCTTTATCCCGAATAAATTTATTATTATATTATCATTATTATGTATTTCTAGATCAGTCCTATGTAACAACACAAACCTGAAATGCCAAAGTAATATGAAAAATTGATATGCATGTATATATAGCTCAATCTCCCATGTAAATATCACGCTTAGGCACGGCTTGGTGTCCAACACCATTGAATATTATATGCAAAGACTACCTCGTGTGTTTCTGGTTCAGAAATTTTTCTCAAATGATTTTCTGTAATTAATTTTCATTTGCTTGTGTGGTACAGTGTACTTAACCTTTTAAGTACGTGTGCTGCTACATCTGTGTGCGTGGACAGATGGATATGTGTTTTATGTTTTATTTTTTACACAAAATCATTATGTTATGGAGATATGATGATAATAATATTAGTCTTTTTGCGACAAATTAAATTGTAACACAATTTAGATACAATGTAGATACCATGATATACAAAGGGACTCGTGGTACTCTGTCCGCCTGACCACAGTTATGATGATATATGGGAGGTTGTTACGTGTATTATTTGTATAGTATTTGTATGCTATATTTAACGGAAAAATCTTGTATGAATTTCAGACAGTGCGATATGAACATGCAATATCTTAAGTAGTGAATGTATAATTTATTGATTTTCAGAATATCGTGAGATTTATTTCTTCTACAATAAATTATATGCTTTTTACTACTTGTGCTTGTTTTAATACCAACACCCAGCATCTTAACACCCAACAAACAATTACACACCAGCAGAGACATGCACACAATATCTATATATAGAACACATATATACACGTATGTAGTAAGTGCTGATTCAAGCTACGTGGCGATTTTTACCATAGCTCTTCTTATTAACCTTTCTGATACCGGCATTAACCGGCACAAACCGGACTGTGCAAATAGAACCTCTTCATACAGTAATTTCTAAAAATAGATGATTATGCTGACAAAACAAATTACCTCCCTTTATTTTGATAAACGTATTATGCATTAATGGCTGGTAAATCCCATTAAAACTGCACATAAATCTATGCATAGAACTTATGAACTGATATACTGAATTAGTATATTTAAAATACATGTATATTTTATAGGTAAATGTGTCTCTGTCATTGTTACGGTCATCATTTATGATTTTATCTGTATCTCACATAGGAAGATTGCGTAAACAGAACAAGGAAATTTAGAACATAATCAACAAACAAAATAAGTTATAAGGGGAAAGCCTGAGACAAATTAAGTGGTTCCCCTTTATTAGACATTATTTACCAATGTACAACTGTGTTTAAAGTGATTAATTATGAAATTTAGTACAAGTAATCTGTTACATGTTGTGTACGAGATGGAGCGCTCACGTTGTATAAAAACATTTCATCTTAGACGAATTTGAAAATATTACAGTGATCTCGACCCGATAACATACTGAAAATATTACAGTGATCTCGGCCCGATAGCATTCTGAAAATGTTACAGTGATCTCGGCCCGATAGCATTCTGAAAATATTACAGTGATCTCGGCCCGATAGCATTCTGAAAATATTACAGTGATCTCGGCCCGATAACATTGTGAAAATATTACAGTGATCTCGGCCCGATAGCATTCTGAAAATATTACAGTGATCTCGGCCCGATAGCATTCTGAAAATATTACAGTGATCTCGGCCCGATAGCATTCTGAAAATGTTACAGTGATCTCGGCCCGATAGCATTCTGAAAATATTACAGTGATCTCGGCCCGATAACATTGTGAAAATATTACGATATCAAATATTGTACATGTAGCTAAATAAAGTGATAATCCTCGATAAAAATACATGTCTTGATTACAAAATATTAATGGATTTGTAAATTTCCAAGATGAAGAAAATATTTTTTTCCTCTTAAGTATAAGAGTCATAATGATTATAAATACATGTGTGTAAAACCTGAAAAATACTGCGCAAATTAACACTAAAAATAGACCCATTTAAATATCAATACTAGCATAAACGCTCTCTACTGCACCGCTTTACCGTAACAGGACATCCTAATTAATGACTCGATGGAAAATCAATCAATCAATGATTAACAAAGTAGATAATAGAATGAGACCGGTCATATCTGGTGCGGCGTAGTTGTGGAATTCACCGTACATAATACACACATACATGTGTACATAGTAGTAGTCACCCGCAATCACACCGTTGCGGTGTCTATTTATAGTAGTCAGGTAAACATTGCATTACTTGTACCTAGGTAAGCTTAAACATATTTACATTAAGTGTTAGTGTTGTCCACTACATCACAGTTCTCACTGATCGTTCTAATACCGGCATTAACCGCCATAAACCGGACTGTTCGAATGGAACCTCCTCACACGGTAATTCCTAAAAATAGATAATTATGCTGACGAAACCAAATTACCTCCCTTTATTAAATATCTGTTCGTTATCCAGCCTAGCGTAAGCGAATTCAACTTCCAGTGAACCTTAGAACGGAGTGAGTTCTACAGCGACAACAAATATGGAATTAAGATAACAATGAATAGCGTCAACGAATTCAACATCCAGTGAATCTTAAAAAGGAATGAGTTCTACAGCGACAACAGATAAGGAATTAAGTTAACAGTAAGTATATACTATATTTACTTGATGTTTGTACTGTATAAACGGGTCCATAGATAATTCTGGACTTGATACCAACAATATTCAGTATTCAAAAGGCACAGTTAGGTAAATGGGTCTATCTACATATCTACATCACTCTAGTGGACCATATAAGACAATCTGAAATCTATATCAACTTATATGTTAAACTATCTAGTGCGAAGGCAATCTCGAAACTGCCTTCTTACACAGATATTCATTTTCAATCTTGATACTATGCAGTATTAAAAGTCTTATCATCTGCCCACTCATCATAAAAAATTTCCATCTCTCTTCTTCTTCAGAGTGCGCAGCACAATGAAGAATGACAAATACAGACATTTTTGACCCAATCAGATTTCTTGTAATCATAAAAGCAGGTCCCCGTGGGTTGCTGACAATTTTTATGCACGGATAAGCTATTTTTAAACTACAATAATGACGTCATCATCATCATGATGGGTAGTAACGCTACCCGGATGCACCTATATAAAACCTTGTAGTCTGAACATTTCGATGCAGTTCTCACCTCATGATCGAAGAACGGCCAGCAAGGAATTGACAACTTCATACGTAAGTGACTTTTTCATATTTCTAGCTGGTTTGGTTTTCGTAATGATATCATAAAAAGTCAACAAAACACGGATTTTAGTAAGTTCTTCTCATGAAAACAAATTTGTTATGTTTAGCTGACACCTTTAAAAACATCTACTATATATAAGACAACAATGATAGTACTGTAACAGAGAAGCTGATGAAACTCACGGCGTTGCTATTACAGATGCTTTGTAGTATGTCACATTTCTGTAACACTGATATATATCAGGTCTCTGTGGTTACTTCCATGCATGCACAGTGTATACTTTGTACTCGTGAATTTGAAACATAAAATTCGAACACTTCTATATCGTACATAGGGTAGGTGGAATGTGTAGTCAGGACAGTGCCCTGCTCAGATTATCTTGGTCCACCTAGTCGTTATTTTAACTTTATTTAGTAGTAAAAATAATCATACAATTATATATAATTATGTGATGTAGTGTATATCGTACATAGGGTAGGTGGAATGTATAGTCAGGACAGTTCCCTGCACAGATTATCCTGGTCCAGCTAGTCCTTATTAGGGGAAGGTATCCAGTGATAGGCGCGATATTATTCGAAATACATGTACTACGATCTTACCGTCGCAAATCTTTCAGATCTTCACTTCGATATAAAAACACTTTTGGAATATCACTTGAAAGAAAATATGTTGCTAAAATTAATCTTTCTATAAACTAAATATGCTGAATATACAATATTCTATTAATAAATCTAACGTACCATGTAAATGAGTGCGCATGACCTAAAGCTTTTATTGCTGAGTAAACCGCCATATTTGTGTGACGTAACTATGAAATATGCGCGCCAAGATTTCAAAAAATTACAAAACGTTGCGCTTAGTATATCACTTAGCTCGTTGGTAGGAAAAATAGCGTGTATGTAAAATAACTCAACGATTGTCGTTATTAAGGCATAACAATTCTAACGTCAATAGCATCAAAAATCCTGTTTGTATCTCTAAAGTGCACATCATCCTGAAGTGCGGATATGGTTTATCACTCCACGAAAAGTACCCAAATCTGACCTAGATATCCAGATATGGTTTGGCCTATCACGAGCTCGTGAACGGACTTCACCGAAAGTACCTGTGGTTTTTCAATTGCCACGCGTTGTAGGCTGTAGAAATCTAGGTGCGCATGACACTTGTTTACATTACACTAATATAAGAATCTGGTCATGCGCACTCATCTTTTAAGTGCCTGTGAGTACACCGACAGCCTACAGTAATCATGTAACAGGAAGATGGCTGTATGACAGAAGACACATAACAATGGTAACAAACATATTAAAACTAGAAACAATACATCTAGCTGTAGATAAACTACCTTACATGTTTACCACCAATCACACAATTAAAGAAACAACCGACAAAATTATAATCATAAAACATGCCTACGATTTCTGTATGATAGTCGGGGAGAGTGTATCTCGGCATGTCCGAAAAAGTGTTTACATGTAAGGACATGTAGAGATTAAGTAAGTTGTCTAAACGATGTTGTTCATAATAATCCATGTCTGGTACACTAGCGCTTTACTCCCTCTAGAATCTACAATGAGCCGAACATGCCGCCATTTTACTTCTAAACGACGAAACCAACTCAACGACAAAGAATTACCAATGAGATTCTGGGTTGTGGATAAAACCTGGCAATCGGGACAATTTGATAAATTCGAAATAGTGTGTAACACTGTGTTACAAGTCAAACCAACTCTCGTATCTCCTTCTGAAATGGTTTTATGCCATCGGACAAACTCAACACTTGTTAGCCGTTCGGAATACCCTCGCATCACCAGGAATGTCACTGGGGACGGCAACTGTTTTTTTCGATGTATAAGTTATTTGATGTGTGGTTCCGAGGAGTTTCATGACGTTGTGAGACACTGGGTTGTATCCAGTATGTCTGCCCGTGATGTTGGAATGTCTATTTCTCGGTATATCCACAGTACCCGTATGAATAGAAAAGGCGTCTGGGCCACAGATTACGAAATAATGGCCACGGCTAAACTTCTCAAAACGGATATATATGTGTTCTCTAAGTATGCAAGGGACTGGAAATGGATGGAATTTAGATGTAGTCACAGGAGACAAAGGCGGAACATTCCACGAAGGTCAATATACTTACATCACTATCGTCAATGTCATTTTAAACTGGTGTTTTCTGTAAGGAACATTAGAAATGTAAACGATTAATAAGTATAGCGCTATATTTCCCCGTGTTATAGCTTGGCTTTTGTTATGACTGTGATGTACTCCATTACCACTATACTGATAAAATACATATGGTGTGTGACATGTGTCGTGGCCGTATCAAGACATTGTTATTGGAATGAAATACAAAAAGAGTTCTTGTGTTTAGCTTCACAAATTGTTTATAGGAACTTTCGATATCTATAGTCTTAAGAAGATAATACGTTTCTGTTGTTAAACTATTTTATAAAATGATCATCGCAATAGTTTTATCATATGTTATAAGAAAATAAAGATCAGTAAAGAGTTCTATGTACAATGTACAGCCTTTTATGGACCCACTGATGGCTACATTATCATCAGTGTTTTGTTGATAAGGATGTATAAGACTCAGAATCTCTATCATTTAAAAGATAAGAAAGTCAAATGTGAAATGTCTTTCAGTTTCAAATTCTCAAAAGATGTTAGAAAAATAAAAAGCAGGATCAATGAATTGTATAACAATGGAAAATAAAATATTCAATGTGCTCAAGCAGTTTGTTTTATAACATACATAGACAATTGTAGTTAATCAGTATATGTTACAAATACTGTTACAAAATCACGAATATGGATTTCACCAAAGGAAAAAAGTGTTTAAAACTCAGAAATGTCATAGACAGGTGTTGTCTTTAAGTTTTGTAATGAAAAGGATCGCCGAAAGTTTTCATGTCTGAAGAGCAATCCAGTCCGATGTTCATATGATTCAGTGCCCGTTATAATTGTTCTCAGTCAGCAGGAATCGCCTTGAAAGTCAGTCCAAATAATGTCAAGTTCTCAAAACTAGAAATGATGTAGGGAAAGGCACACCGCCAGACAGACTGACGAGCATGGGACATGCAGACCGTTAAATAAAACAACAAAAATCTCTAAGCATACTACATTGTAAGGAACATCAAACATGCCGAACTTAATATTACATGACTAACCCAATAGGCAGAATGTGATGGGTGACGCCTAAATATTTTGATTGACAATGTGATTTGTGACGCCCAGATGTTTTGATTGACAATGCGATATGTGACGCCCATTGACAATGTGATGTGTGACGCCTAGATATTTTGATTGACAATGCGATATGTGACGCCCATTGGCAATGTGATATGTGACGCCCAGATGTTTTGATTGACAATGTGATGTGTGACGCCCAGATATTTTGATTGACAATGTGATGTGTGACGCCTAGATATTTTGATTGACAATGTGATATGTGACGCCTAGATATTTTGATTGACAATGTGATGTGTGACGCCTAGATATTTTAATTGCCAATGTGATGTGTAACGCCCAGATATTTTGATTGACAATGTGATGTGTAACGCCCATTGACAATGTGATGTGTGACGCCCAGATGTTTTGATTGACAATGTGATGTGTGACGCCTAGATATTTTGATTGACAATGTGATGTGTAACGCCCATTGACAATGTGATAGTGACGCCCAGATGTTTTGATTGACAATGTGATGTGTGACGCCCAGATATTTTGATTTGACATCGTAATGTGTGACGCTTAGATATTTTGATTGACAATGTGATGTGTGATGCCTAGATATTTTGATTGACAATGCGATATATGACGCACATTGACAATGTGATCTGTGACGCCCAGATATTTTGATTGACAATGCGATATGTGACGCCCATTGACAATGTGATATGTGACGCCCAGATGTTTTGATTGACAAAGTGATGTGTGACGCCTAGATATTTTAATTGACAATTTTGATTTTTATGACAATGTGATGTGTGACGCCTAGATATTTTGATTGACAATGTGATGTGTGACGCCTAGATATTTTGATTGACAATGTGATGTGTGACGCCTAGATATTTTGATTGACAATGTGATGTGTAAAGCTTAGATATTTTTATTGACAATGTGATGTGTGGCGCCTAGATATTTTAATTGACAATGCGATATATGACGCCCATTGACAATGTGATGTGTGACGCCCAGATATTTTGATTGACAATGCGATATGTGACGCCCATTGACAATGTGATATGTGACGCCCAGATGTTTTGATTGACAAAGTGATGTGTGACGCCTAGATATTTTAATTGACAATGTGATGTGTAACGCCCAGATATTTTTATCGACAATGTGATGTGTGACGCCTAGATATTTTGATTGACAATGTGATGTGTGACGCCTAGATATTTTGATTGACAATGTGATGTGTGACGCCTAGATATTTTGATTGACAATGTGATGTGTAAAGCTTAGATATTTTTATTGACAATGTGATGTGTGACGCCTAGATATTTTGATTGACAATGTGATGTGTGACGCCTAGATATTTTGATTGACAATGTGATGTGTGACGCCTAGATATTTTGATTGACAATGTGATGTGTGACGCCTAGATATTTTGATTGACAATGTGATGTGTGACGCCTAGATATTTTGATTTGACGCTGTTATGTATGATTGGTCGCGTGCACTTTCAATTTTGCCATGACCTGTTTCAGGTGTGCTTAATCACAGAATCCTTGCCCTTTGGTTAAATTTTGTGTACAATGAAGTCATTTCACTTGTATATATGGTGAAGTATCTAATCGTTTTCGTGTGTGGTCCATCAGATCTCACGAAACCTTGTTTTGTATATTGTTTTGAAGTTCGTATTTTCGTCTCGACAGAGATTAGGAATCTTTTTTTGATAAACTTTAATTATTTACAGATAAAGGCAATTTCAAAGATGGAAGAGACATCTTCAACGATCTGTGAAGATTACGACGGTACAAAAATTCTCGAGGCAGCTTTTGTTGCTATGAAAACTGGGAGTATCACACCTATTATCAAACAAGAGCTGCGGTTTATAATTCAGTCAAGACGCTTGGCAGAAGGCAAATCGGAACTGGATGTCAGTTTTGTTCCTCCAGTAACTACAGAGGTAAGCCACAATACTTTGTTCCCTTAGTCATAACAGAGTAAGGCGGCATTTCTTTGTTCCTTGGTTACTACAGAGGAAGGCGGCAATTCTTTGTTCCTTGGTTACTACAGAGGAAGGCGGCAATTCTTTGTTCCTTGGTTACTACAGAGGAAGGCGGCATTCTTTGTTCCTTGGTTACTACAGAGGAAGGCGGTATTTCTTTGTTCCCTCAGTTATAACAGAGTAAGACAGCAATACTTTGTTCCTTGGTTACTACAGAGGAAGGCGGCGATTCTTTGTTCCTTGGTTACTACAGAGGAAAGTGGCAATTATTTGTTCCTTGGTTACTACAGGGGAAGTCGGCATTCTTTGTTCCTTGGTTACTAAAGAGGAAGGCGGCGATTCTTTGTTCCTTTGTTACTACAGAGGAAGGCGACAATACTTTGTTCCCTCAGTTATTACAGAGTAAGACAGCAATACTTTGTTCCTTGGTTACTACAGGGGAAGTCGGCATTCTTTGTTCCTTGGTTACTACAGGGGAAGTCGGCATTCTTTGTTCCTTGGTTACTAAAGAGGAAGGCGGCAATACTTTGTTCCTTGGTTACTACAGAGGAAGGCGGCAATTCTTTGTTCCTTGGTTACTACAGAGGAAAGTGGCAATTATTTGTTCCTTGGTTACTACAGGGGAAGTCGGCATTCTTTGTTCCTTGGTTACTAAAGAGGAAGGCGGCATTCTTTGTTCCTTGGTTACTAAAGAGGAAGGCGGTATGTCTTTGTTCCTTGGTCACTAAAGAGATTATCGCCAATATTTTGTTTGTTTAGGGTTAAACTATCAGTTATATTAACGTTTACTAAACAGAATGCTAAATACATGAACATAACTACAAGAGCTTAATTTCATTATATTTCGACGATAAAAAATTAAATCTAAGTGAAAGTTGAACTTTTATCACTCAATGAAAACAAAAGCAAAAGGCTAGCCACTTTTGTCTTATTATTCTCTCTTCAAAATAGAGTTTATGTTTTGAAATACTGACTACTTATTAGCAGTACTTGTTAACAGACTAACACTTATGTTCATCACTATACGTTTGTATGTTTGTTTGATAGCTTACTCCCGAAGAACGCATTAAGAAAGAAAACAGACGAGAACAAAACAGAAAAGCATCTAGAAAATTCCGGAGAAAGCAGACCGTCTTAATACATAATGTTAAAAAGGTGACCGTTCTTTTTATTTCCATGTATTCTTTTCTAAGTTAACAACCTCTGTTATTGAAGGTGGATGTGTTTTATATTCAACGTTTTCGTCAATTTTATTTTCCAGTTATAAATAAGATCACAAGAAATTGAACCTATTAACGAATCATTATGCACATGTAATAAGGTTCAATGATGTAAAACTTTAACAGGTTATTCATGTTAATTAGTATAACACATTTCTAGTAATAATCATCTTTAGAACGGAAATGAGCCCGTTAAACACCCTCAATAGTAAATGAAGTCTGTTATTTATTACAGAGAATGCAAACATTGTCATCAGAAAACACACGACTGACTAGAGAGCTGACAACGCTTGCACAGGAGAAACACTCCTTACAAGAGAAGCTGCGGTCTCATCTAGATGTCTGTGGTTGTGTTATTACTACGGCCGTGTTAGTGTGACAGCAGGGATACACATAACCGGATCTAACTTTGTGTAAATTTACATGGCGTGTGTGTGTCGTAGTTGAACTCGAAGACGCTCACGTTTTACGAACATCTGGTCTCATTATCCTTTCTGCTTACTTTTGTGTTGTTGAAATACGAGTTCATTATCAAGACAGTTTTGCTGTGTTAGTGAAACGTTAGCGAAACAATCACACCGGATAAGCGGATAACGGATGGACACACACGGGTATTCCTCGACTGGGCTCGCCATTAAATTCTCAATCGTGTAATATATATCTACACACAAATAAAGTTAAATGTAGTATCATACTGATGTGATTTAAAATGTCAGGAAACATGAAGACTACTTAAACCCAGTTATCTTATTTTAACTGAAATTGATTGTTGTTTTCCAATGGCAATGATAGACGTGTGCTATATTTTTGTTACGGGTGAGAAACAAAACAAAGCGTATATCCAATAATTATTTAATTACTGTATCACTCTACAAATTTTCTTAAAATATTCCGATGTCTTTTTGTGCTGATTTGTTAAAGAAAGGCGTACATCATTTCTGATGTTGTTCATATGATATTATGTGAAATAAAAAGCTAAGGGAAGGAGCTATGTATACCAATTTATACGAACCATTCCATTTAAGATGAAGCTTTATTTCTTTCACTACATTAAGGCATTTTCCAAGGAAGTACGTACATATTGTTTGCTTTCTGGGTTTATCTCAATATGAACAGCAAGAGTCATAATGAGTTTCATTGAAGTAGTTCGTGGATATATGTACCTCATTGAACAGCAAAGAGAGGTCCGTCGAATATCATCTCGCCAAAAGACAACCACCTCAACAGATTGGTCCGCTTCTCACTTTCCAGAGAAAACACAAAACACCTGAGATGGTAGATTCCAACCATTCACCACGGATCTTCATCAGAGGTTACACAGGCCAACGCTCTACCGACTGAGCTAATGAGGCAACCATGCATAAATAACGTGTGAATGATATAAATTCATTTCTATAGAATGTATCTATTCACAAACTGTTGCTTTGTATATAACACATGATTAAACTGTTTTCAGTGAAAATACTTCAGTAATATTTTCCCCTCAAACCCCAATTTTATGACCAATTGTGACGTCAGTAGTAAATGTTGATATGACGTCACATACTCCCAGATTACAGCTTGACGTAACCTAAAATGCCATTGATAAAGAGCTATTATGTGACATGGGAATCTATGTTCCCTGCAATAAAAACTACTGACTTTTTGCTGCTGTAGTAAAATATTAAATTTGTTTCATATCATAATAAATACATGAGATTCGCTACATTTTTGTTTTGTTTTTCTTGCCATGAATGAAACATCCAGGTTTGATATAGTTTGGTGTTGCTACTAGATAGACATAACAACACAGATCTCAATGTAGATATTTATCAAAGAATGACAACATTGATTTTAATACACAATACTCGATACAGTTTTTCATGATTTTACGTTACAGCAATTCAGTCAATTTTTGACAACCATGTATTTTACAAGCACGATAACTAGCACTATTATACCAGTCTATTGTTTATTTAATGACATGTTACTGTTATTTAACACTTTAGTAGTCTGTGTGTACTTGACAGACGTGGTTTCATGTGATCATATAATACGTGACAATATGTAACGCATTCCTACCAGTTTCCGTTGTCGTGTTACCCTGAGACGCTCTAGTCAGCAATGTAAGTGTCTCGTTAAGACAGTTACGATGTTTTAGTTTGTTTGGATTTTGACATACGCTAATTACGATAGCAAAAAATGAAAACCCGTTATCATTGTCACGTGTGATTATGCATGATTATATCAGAACAAACCGGTAAATTAATAAGTACATACCCACAGAAAGATCCGTTATCATTCTTTTACCTTTTTCATGTTAATAGTAAGCGTGCATACTCTACAGCCAATGAATCAATTTCATGTGTATAGACACTATTAAGATTAATAAAAACTTCTGTGTTACTGTAATAGTGATGCAAAATGACGTCACTTACAGTGAGAGAAACGTTAATTATTGTTTTCCTTTCCCCATGTTTATATTTTTTAAAAATGTATTTTACTGTTTTGTTATTGAGATAGATAAACACATGTAAATGAATTAATTAATGAAAAGATGATATAGGTTTAGCGATTAAAATTGTATTCTTTACCATCTGAAAAAAAACATTGTTACAATCAGATAGTTTGTCTTTTGTTTGGTAACGGTGTCTTCCATATTAAATCATCAAATAACTTATGTAATAGATATTATATGATCTTATTATGACACATATATATATACACAGTGTAAAGTCAGTTGTTTCCAGGATAAAGCACTAGGTTTGTTTTATAGATTACATAAAATTTTAGACTTACACCAAGATTTTCTAAATATTTCAGTATAGTTTGGAGGTAGATTGAATAAATACAATCGAGAAATAAAACATCAAATAAGTGAAGTAAAACCATAGTAGAGTACTAATAATAGCTTAATTTTGGAATTTATCCCTGGTAAATGTATCTACTTTCCCCCAGGAACACTTTCGTCTTTTGATAAACACAAAGTGTTTGATGTAAACAAGGGATGATGGTGTTGTATCACGTTTACCACGTTAGAACATATATTACGTTACGTGTAATAATGGTATTGTATCACGTTTACCACGTTAGGACATATATTACGTTACATGGAATATTGGTGTTGTATCACGTTTACCACGTTAGGACATATATAACGTTACATGGAATATTGCTGTTGTATCACGTTTACCACGTTGGAACATATATTACGTTACATGGAATATTAGTGTTGTATCACGTTTACCACGTTGGAACATATATTACGTTACATGGAATATTGGTGTTGTATCACGTTTACCACGTTGGAACATATATTACGTTACATGGAATATTGGTGTTGTATCACGTTTACCACGTTAGGACATATATTACGTTACATGGAATATTGGTGTTGTATCACGTTTACCACGTTGGAACATATATAACGTTACATGGAATATTGGTGTTGTATCACGTTTACCACGTTGGAACATATATTGCGTTACGTGGAATAATGGTGTTGTATCACGTTTACCACGTTAGAACATATATTACGTTACGTGGAATATTTGCCAACAATTTTCTTACTAAATTCAGTATGTATATATAGTGTTATTTTACAGCATCGCAAATGAAACATGAAATATGTAGATATTTAGTATTTCTAAGAGTAAAAGAATGAGAGAAAAAGACCAAGAGGTCGACTCTGTGTTAGTGAACGTAATGGATATCCGATATAAACAAATCTCTGTTCTGGGTGATATTATCATGTGGACAGTTTCGATATATGTTCTTTAAATTCATTTTGCAGATTCATTACAGATAGTGTATGACAAACCTTTCTGTCCATCATTGGATGACAGCTATCATAACCTGTCAGATGGAAGTTCTTCATGTTTCTTATTCCTGCTTACATAAATGGGCACTCAGGGACGTACGACCTCACGTCAGCGTTTTGTTTAGTCATTTATTTAGAGCGGATTCAAGTGCACGTGTAACCCGTATTGTTACATATATAAGAGGTACTTAAATGACTCTATTAATAGAAGGCCATGACAAACGTCTGTAGATAAGTTGATTTCTTAAATTATCTTGTAATGTAATAATTCGTGTACTGAAAAAATCATTGCAATGAATTCTTTTAATTGCCATTTAAATCAAAATAAAGATTTGTGTCTGATAAAACTGTAGCAACACTAGTTTTTGCTGTCTATATCCACGTCGATCTATATTTCTTTTGTGAGGATTCGTTTACATTATGTCAAATTTCTAAAATAGTTGTTTTTATGATGAATCATGAGAGTGTCTTTCATATGAATTAAATAATTATGATTATGTAGCATTATATAAATTGTCTACTAAAGAATGTTATTTTCGTACAAAACATGTGCCTAATTTCTTTTAAATAAAACAAAATGCTTTATCCATCGTACACATATATATGCCTCAATATCTATAAACAGTCTAGGTTATTTCCGGTTTCCTATTTTAAGGAAACATTTTTGCCTTTTGTAGTTTTCATACGACATCCTCTACCACCATGAAAGAACACGAGGTGTTCCGATAATAAGATTTCTATTTATAATGCTGACGAAATTGCTGACGATTAGGAGGAGACATTGCAAGCTGTTTATTTGTTCTTCTTACTACCTCTTTCTGAAATGTTGCAGATTCTTTAGAAGATACAGGTAACCAAGGTAGGAAGGTGATATGCATGTATGTTACCGATAACATACCTTGTCTATTTCATAAACACACATGTGGGTTCCTATGCATAAATAGCTACCTGTATTTTATCAATGGACGCAGCGCTGTAATACGCTGACCTACTTAAGAGTTCTCACAGTGAATAATGTGTGTTGTCGGCTACAAATTGCTGACTACAGATTATGCATTCTCACTCTAACGTATATATGTCTAGGTAGGAGTATCTTTTAATAACAAACGAATTCGTCTGGTCTAGATTAAATTTGATGTTTTCATACAGTTGTAAAGAAGAGACAAACGAGTTATAAGTGTGTGATTCATAAGGTGTAAATATATTTAGCCGTGAGTCAAATATACATATAAATACATGTACAAATGTATTTTAACAGACATTAGATTAATAATAATAGTAGTTAAATTGTCTGTTTTAGGAAACAAACACGAATCAAAGTTCATGGGGATAACACTGAATTTAAAAAATTAGGTCTCTAACCGGCTGCATAAAACTTAATATATGACGAAATTTATTTAAATTCCATTTGCAAATGGTTTATTAATAAGAGTAATTGAAATTAATGATTGATAAACATACCGATCATTTCAACTTTAGAGTACGAATTATTGTCCATGCTTCAGTTGCCTTGAGAGCGGAATTGAAAGAAATTGAAAGACTGCTTGTCGATGTGCCTATTGGAATGCACTCTTAAATGTAACAATTCTTTGTCATATGAAATAATTGTAAATTGAAAAGATACTAGTTCCACTGTCCCTTCCTGGTTGTTGTTTTTACCAGCTGCTGAAATGACCTATTCGGCACGGTTGGAGTCTATAATGTATGACCGATATGTTTGTATAACATTGATTCTCTGTCTGTCATAACTGAATTAATTTACTACTTCTTAGCTCATCATTTTACAATGCTGTGGGACACTACGACAATGATATTGCAAATGTGAAATAAGTCTGATCGACTTTCGATAAAATGGACACATGAATCAGTACAATATCAGCAAAAATCTATAGATATACCGTGTAGCCGCTTATTTTCGCTTTTTCGCGGTACATTAACGTGATCGCGAAAATTTGATCCGTGAAATAATCACACATGTTTGCATTAGATGTCATTTTTACATCCAGATCGCGAATCTCGATTCATTAAGATATTATTCAATTAATTTTGACCCAAGAAATTAACATGCTATAAGGAATATGTACTACTGCTCCCAAATTATCAATATCATGTACAGCTTTTTTTGTACAACCCGATTCTTTGGAAAGAAGAAATGCTAGTGAATTTTGAACTCTAGCCATTAATAACAACAAATGTGTAATAAGCCTATCTCGGACAATTAAGAAAAGCAGAGTGATTAATTCTGATTTATTTAAAGGAATAATGGCGGTTAATCTAACGGATCCAAGTGACGAAGAAGAATGTAAACTGGCAGAGGCCGCACTAGCATGTTATCAGTCAGGACAGCTTACTCCACTTATCAAGGAAGAACTCAAGTACAAAATTCAAGCTAAACGGATGGAACAAGGCAAGGGAGAACTCCATGTCCAATTTACAGCCCCAAATTCATTTGAGGTGAGTTTTAATTTGAATGACTGCCAAATAAATGTATTATTATGCCATGGTACAAGGATAACATCGACCCTCTACGTCAAAGTAAAAAACAGTAGTAAGCTGGAAACTAGTAAGCGACACGAAAACCGCAGGTTTACACCCAGGAAACATCTTTGGTATTGATCTACTAATGAAATGATTTCGGATCTTCAGCAGGTTTTATATTAAAGATATAACAATACACAACATTTAAAGACTTTGAGAATTCAAGACAATGTTTTCAATGAAATACTCCATAAAGAATGACATTCACTGAATAACATACAGAGGGGTCATTGCTTAGGGTCAAGTGTCTTGCCTAAAGACACATCCACGTTAGTACAAGCCAACGCAGCTAAGGAGGGTCGAATCAAGCAATTTGGTTTTTCACCTGAGGTTACGAAGACTCTACTAGGCGATCGTGGTGCACACGATACTGAAGCGGTGATTGATGTGTATTATTTATTATAACAATTCGTCGTATTAAAACTTCTTTTAGATCTTGGGTTATTATTGTGTTAATTACTACCTTCATTGTTTACAGCTGACGAAAGAGGAGGCACTTAAGTCAGAAAGGAGGCGACAACAAAACCGTGTGGCGGCAAGAAAGTTTCGCAAAAGACAACTAAAATTTGCAGTTAACCTTGATGAGGTATGTTTCGATCATACGGACGTAACTGTCACAATGTCAAAGACACTTGATGCAAGAATGGCAAAACAGATTTTTTTATTCGATAAGCATTTACAGCAGTAGGCTACAAAATATGTATTTTTTAATAGTGAATGACATATTTTTACAGATGCTGCAGACGTTGGAAGCCGAAAACAGTCGTCTTCACGCGGAGGTTGGAAGACTTAGCATGGAAAAGAACTTTTGGCAAGAGAAACTCAATAAATTCCTACTTAGTACAATAGATGGACATCTAGAATCTTGACATTGATTACAACAACCGAAGGCTGTATCTTATTAAACGTCGCTTCCCGAGAGTATGTGATAGACTTGACAGCAGACATTCACAAACTGAGAAGCCTTACAAGAAACGACTTTCTCTCAAGGAGTGTGATGTTTAATACAAAACAATATTGTTGATGTGTGAAATATTATCCAGGCATTTCATACAGACTTGGTTGAGTTCAGCAGTCGAGGTACATTAGAATCTGAGTTTACAATGCTCAAATGGATCGATAAGGCAATATTGACGTGGAGAACAACCTGATAAAAACCTTTATATCTGGTAATGACTCAAATTAACAAATCATAACCATAGATATATGTTTACATTGTGGATTTAATGATAGTTCCACACAGCTACTATCCTGCCAATAACGATAGTCATTCTCTATTTACAATGTTTTTTATAAGTTTTTTTTTTTTTTTTTTACAAATAGTCAGGTATCAGTCGTGCCTATCCAACTACCTGTCAAGAGACATGCATTTATGTAGTGGTGCCAGCTGTAAGTGCTATCATCCTCGCGTTACAAGATATAAATGGAAAGCGAAAGTAGATTTAAGTGGTAGTTAGTGAACCTGGGATCTATAGGACTGCTTGTTTGTATGTGTGTTTGAATGGTATATAAATCATTTTATTTTATTTGTTATTTTTTTATGCATAAATATATTGAAATGATTATTGCTTATCTTTACTTTTTTATTAAAAGGTGTCTCCAAGAAAAGACGAACACATATATTTCGTTATAACCAGTTACTCTTTTAGATTTTATAAAATCATGTGATATTGCATCGAAAACATGATAACAGAGAACAAGTAACGAGATAAGAAGAGCATGCTGACATATTAAAAAAACAAAAACATATTTCAAAATGTAAATTGGGTATTGAGGGGGAAATAAGGGAAATACTCACAAGGAATACGACATAAAAAGGAGGGTAAGATTCATCGACGATACGATCCACAGAAAGCCTAGTCAGTGTTTGAAATGTAACATTCTCAACTGAGAACCAGCTTTTAAAGGCGACATTTAAAATTAGTATACTAATTGGACCTTTCCCTAGTTTTAGGACGCTTGCTATCTTTCCCTGATAAAACAGAGATATCTTTCCTAGGCACGGAAGTGTGGATAATTTTATCTGATGGAGTACAACAATGTGTCTTTTTCGACGGGACAAATATCTACGTCATTTGCCAAGAATGCACCATATGAATATGCTATATATATAAGAATATATATACGCACAACATATAGCAATGTCGTGTAATCGTTAAGGAATGGTCTTGCAAGATGGCAGAGGAAGACGGACACAAAAGATGGGTGCTCACTTTAAGCCACCAAATCACTATCTTTTTTAAAATAAAATCTGACCGAGACGAGTACCAAACCACATTCAGAAATACTCAATGTATATTATAAAAGTGTTTGTGTGTTAATTCATAAATAATGTGAACCTTTCCCAAAGTTGTAAACTGCTCATATCGAAATATTTAAGCAGCCTGATGTATATTTCAGTTGTCAAGGATACACTCATATAACATCCGCTTTTTATTCATTTTACAATTCATGCTTATCACCCTCTAATATCTACAATACATGCTTATCGCCCTATAATATTTACAAAACATGCTTACCGCCCTATAGTATTTACAATACATGCTTATAGACCTATTATATTTACAATACATGCTTATCGCCCTATAATATTTACAAAACATGCTTATCGCCCTATAATATTTACAAAACATGCTTACCGCCCTATAGTATTTACAATACATGCTTATAGACCTATTATATTTACAATACATGCTTATCGCCCTATAATATTTACAAAACATGCTTACCGCCCTATAGTATTTACAATACATGCTTATCACCCTATAATATTTACAATACATGCTTATAGACCTATAATATTTACAAAACATGCTTGCCGCCCTATAGTATTTACAATACATGCTTATATGCTTACCTATGTATTTACAATACATGCTTATCGCCCTATAATATATTTACAATATTTAACATGCTTATCGCCCTATAATATTTACAATACATATAGACCTATAATATTTACAAAACATGCTTATAGACCTATAATATTTACAATGCTTATACATGCGACCTATAATATTTACAAAACACTTATCCCCCTATAATATTTACAAACATGCTTATCGCCCTATAGTATTTACAAAACATGCTTATCGCCCTATAGTATTTACAATACATGCCCTATAGTATTTACAATACATGCTTATAGACCTATAATATTTACAATACATGCTTATAGACCTATAATATTTACAAAACATGCTTATCGCCCTATAGTATTTACAAAACATGCTTACCGCCCTATAGTATTTACAATACATGCTTATAGACCTATAATATTTACAAAACATGCTTATCGCCCTATAATATTTACAAAACATGCTTACCGCCCTATAGTATTTACAATACATGCTTATCGCCCTATAATATTTACAAAACATGCTTACCGCCCTATAGTATTTACAATACATGCTTATAGACCTATAATATTTACAAAACATGCTTATCGCCCTATAATATTTACAATACATGCTTATAGACCTATAATATTTACAAAACATGCTTATCGCCCTATAGTATTTACAATACATGCTTACCGCCCTATAGTATTTACAATACATGCTTATAGACCTATAATATTTACAATACATGCTTATAGACCTATAATATTTACAAAACATGCTTATAGACCTATAATATTTACAATACATGCTTATAGACCTATTATATTTACAATACATGCTTATAGACCTATAATATTTACAAAACATGCTTATCCCCCTATAACATTTACAATACATGCTTATAGACCTATTATATTTACAATACATGCTTATAGACCTATAATATTTACAAAACATGCTTATCGCCCTATAATATTTACAAAACATGCTGATAGACCTATAATATTTACAATACATGCTTACCGCCCTATAGTATTTACAATACATGCTTACCGCCCTATAGTATTTACAATACATGCTTATCGCCCTATAATATTTACAAAACATGCTGATAGACCTATAATATTTACAATACATGCTTACCGCCCTATAGTATTTACAAAACATGCTTACCGCCCTATAGTATTTACAATACATGCTTATCGCCCTATAATATTTACAAAACATGCTGATAGACCTATAATAATTACAATACATTCTTACCGCCCTACAGTATTTACAAAACATGCTGATAGACCTATAATATTTACAATACATGCTTATAGACCTATAATATTTACAAAACATTCTTATCCCCCTATAATATTTACAAAACATTCTTACCGCCCTACAGTATTTACAATACATGCTTATAGACCTATAATATTTACAAAACATTCTTATAGACCTATAATATTTACAATACATGCTTACCGCCCTATAATATTTACAAAACATTCTTACCGCCCTATAGTATTTACAATACATGCTTATAGACCTATAATATTTACAAAACATGCTTATCGCCCTATAATATTTACAATACATGCTTATAGACCTATAATATTTACAAAACATGCTTATCGCCCTATAGTATTTACAATACATGCTTATAGACCTATAATATTTACAAAACATGCTTATAGACCTATAATATTTACAAAACATGCTTACCGCCCTATAATATTTACAAAACATGCTTATCGCCCTATAATATCGCTTCAAGAAGGAATCAACGAGGAAACAGACCTACTCACACATTCTGGGACTTGGCCTGCTACGTCCTGGTAGAACGTAGTCATGCTTAGGAGATAAATAAACTGAATCCTGACTGACCCTGGCCACTCTTGAGATACCCCTTGTTAGCTTTATGGTCATCATGTTCACTGAAAAGTGGGCGTGGCAGAACGTGGTAAATTTCTATAGCATGTTTATTTGTAAGGGCAACGTGGTAATTCAAAGTGATACGTAGCGTAACCAAAGCGAATACCACATGCTTATCGTGAATAGACGTGGGTTTTCTCAGAAGCAAATCAATGTACTTTTTCTTATTAGATTCCTTCAGCTTCCATTCCATGCTTTGGTTACATGTCAGCAGCGCGCGTGTGTTCAGCAATGATTTTCAACAGGTAGGGGTACCCAAAATGGAACAACTCTGATATTCCGATGATTTATAGAAATAAATGACATATAATCTTTAATATATTTCTTCATTTCATTAAAGTTCACTGACTATCTCATTAATCTCAAGCATATATCTACCAATAATGTTAATTTCAATAATACTTTCTTGGTTTAAAACTATGAAAAAATGCTTGGGATTTTTCTATAGTTTTTTTTCCAGATTATTAATAAAGATGGTAAGCAACATAGAAGACATGGACTGATGAAAAAAATAGCAGAATGATTTATAAATATCTTATTTCTTGTTTCATTTTGAGTAGCGACATCTTGCTTGTAAAATGGTCTAGCCCTCGGTAGATAGGAAAGCTGTCGATACAATTGTAATAAAAAAGTGTCATTTATTTCACATTGTTATACGTGACCTTTTTGGTGTCCAGAAGTACCTTTCTCGGTAATAGTGTATACATTCTATTGTGTGTGTGTATGTGTGTGTGCTTCGTCTCTAGACCGACGCAATTACGTCTCGGTGTTTCACAGGAAAAGGAAGTTTGTTATTTACGTTCCTGTCATTCCTTGGTTTAATATTCTCGGAATCCTTTCACTAATTCTACGGGTTCACATTTGGTGTGAGTCTCATCCATGCAGGAATAAGCTTAGCCTACACATAATTCACGTCACGGATTGCATCACGGTCACTTATGACATATTCCGAATATTACGGAGAAAGTAGTTAATCTTGGCCTGTGTTAGCCTGAGGTTCATATATATCTTATCTGGTACCAAATTTGAAATATCCTCAGCAAGAATTAATCGAGATATTGATCATGCACATTCGATATCAACTCCACGTCATCTTAGACAAATAGGTCATAAGATATGTATGACCTTCATCAGAGTACTTTCGTTATCGATGCGTTTTGAGACAACTTAACATAAGATAAAGAAAATGACCAAACTAAATATGAAAAAAAAGACAATAATAAAAATAATTTGCGTTTGTTCCATACAATTGATATTTTTCTATGATATGAGTTTCATTTTTGATTTTTCTAGGTATTTCCAATGGAAAAAAATCCTGTTGGAATATGCGACACATGTTATCCGGCCGCTTTAGATCATTACGTATAAACAGGAGTATATAGGACACGGAAAGAACGATGGTCAGACGCACGTGCTCGCTGTTGTCGTGATAAGGTACATGTACAATTTTAATAGATGTTCCTGATTAACCGTGATTGGTTATTCGCATTATAGGTGTATAGTATAGAACTTTGACGCGTCATTTAAAATAGATTTAGCACTTCAGATAACTGCAACCGTTTGTTGAACAAACCATCCGATTGTTTTACTTAGTATCGTTACTGTTGTTGCTATATAAGGAGAATCAGGTTTATACAAAATAGTTTCCTGGGTATGTAGGTTGTTAACAGATATTCAATTATGTTCACCATGTCACTCATACTATATAGTTATACATCATTATAAATGGGTTACAAATAAAACTATCAAATTGGTATTTGATTTAAAGAAAATTTATCAGTCGGGATAAAATCTGCTCTAAAATCCTCAATAAGTATTCTACATTTAGTATGACTAATTCATGATCACGTGGTTAAGTGAAGTGTTTCACCAATCGCCGGCTAAATACTCAAGAACTGACACACTTAAATATAAACACATGTTTTCAAACACCTCTGGAAGTATTGACAAATCAGTCCACGTGCACTGCGCGAGGGAACGTCTAAATGCATGTAATCTTATCGCCGTTTCTACAGAAGAAAGCGATAAAAGTGTTGTCGAAAATTGGAATCTACTACAATCATTTGTCTTCTCCAAAATTTATAGGAATTGCTCATTGTTAGTGCGGGTCAGGAATAGTCACAAATCACATGAAAGGTGAGTTGAGTTCCATCATGTTCATGTGAGATGAGCACTATATGAGACACCTCGTCACTTTCTCGTGATAGCTGTATATTTTTTATCTTTTTTTTTTCTCATTCACTTTAGTTTTGTAGCCTTTTCTTTATTTCTTTTTGCATATTTAATGTATTAAACCCGTAACGGGATAATTTAATATGAACTTTATTTTATTCCATTTCACATACATAACAATACAGATAAAGTACATTGGAATAGGATTCGGAAACAAGTTTAAAAAAAACTTATATAAATCCGTTTCCTTGAGTTATCTAATTTACTTAAAATATGGCATGATGACAGAAATTGTAAAGGCCATGAATTGAAATATTACAAAACATATCAAAAAATTTATTTAAATACAGTTCGGGATAATTTACATGTGAGTTTCCTATTTGGTATGTAGAGATCAATGGTGATCACCTAATTACCATAAATACTGATGGGAAGAGGTGCTATATTAATCACTAGGCAGATATGCTAAACTGCCATATCATGATTATGACATTGTATATTATATCTAATATATAATATTTAACATGTTGCGTCCCAAGCTCTGATGGCTTATATATTTGGGATACAGTTTTCCTAGTCTCGTCCTTTGATGGATAAGTATATTTCCAGCTTTTTTTAGAATTCAATACTATCAACTTTCGAGTTGAAACATTTAAGACGTCTTCTTTGTCTTTTTGGCTGTCACACATATTCGGAGTAAGACTATACCAATAGTGTAATTGAAAATGCTTACTTATTTCAAGAGATTTTAACTTGTCTCATTATTACATGATAAATAAATAAATAAATAAATAAATAAATGTTTTACTTCTGTTTTCTTTGCGATATTTGAAACTTTTTCATGATAATTAAATTAGTCAGTATGAACTGGTTGCTAACTGTATTTAATTCATATCTAAACCATTTTCGTTTTTAAACTTCTTGAATAAGACGGAATGTTTTTGACTGGGGTAAACTTAATTATTTAAGGGGTTAACGTCCACTATTACGGCCTTTCAGCCTTTCTGAGGACCATTAGATCTACATGTGATCAATACATTACCCTCTGTCAGTATGGTATTGTGATCGATAAAGTAAATGACTCAAATATATCATTTCTTTTAGTTTAATAAAAAGGTTTTTAAGGAACTTACATTTAATCAATCTGTTTTCATATACACAAGTTTTGATAAGTCAGTTATCGTCAATATGAAATTTGATAAAACCGCGACTGATACATGATATAAAATATCTTTCCTTTATAATACACTTTCAGGTTGGGACAATTTTTTTTCTCAATTTGCAGTCACTAATTTCTAATTCATGGCTTATTTCTAGTTCTTGAAATCTGTTTGCTATGCTATACTAAAATATTGAATCAGCTTTCCAGACACGATAAAACAAGTTATCCTTTTAAGAAATAACTTCCTGTTGAAGTTATCAGATGATTTCTGTGATCATCGCTATGATTCATTCATAGCAGTATTGAAGTATGATGATGATATTAGTACTTGTACAAAATCATCAGTTACCATGGTAACTGTATAAATAGTTATCATCATCTATATATCCAAAAGAACTTTCATCTATTTAAGTATTATCAAGATTTTATTTATTTATTTTCGTAGCATTCATGTTATCATTTATTTTATTTTCATTGTATTTATACGGTACTCAACACTTTTCTTTCATATCATTTATTTATCTATTTATTTATTTATTCATTTATTTATTTATTTTCATTGTGTTCATACAGTACCAACATTTTTTATATCATTTTTAAAAATTTATTTTCATTGTATTCATACCCAACACTTTTATATTATTCATTTATTTATTTTCGTTGTATTCATACGGTACCAAACACTTTCCTGTCATTTTAAAAATTTATTTTCGTTGTATTCATACGGTACCCAACACTTTTAATCATTTATTTATTTATTTATTTATTTATTTATATACTTGTATTGCATTGATATAGTAACCAACTTTGACGACGGATCAACTGTGTTATATTTTACATGAGACGTAAGAATTTTGACGACGGATTAACTGTGTTATGTTTTACATGAGACGTAAGAATTTTGACGACGGATCAACTGCCATGCTACAGACATTATTCTAGTTGCACACATTCTAAATCACTTCCTTTATTTTCACGCATTCAAATAAATACTTTGGTCACAATTCACCTAGTAGTTTATAAGAGTTACTGCCCTTATATTGTAAAAGTCTGACAAGGAGTGAAATAGCTATAAATAGTTCAGGTAAATTTTGATGGCGAATGCTTATATTTATACCGATTTCATCATTTGTAAATATAGATTAGAATGCTGATTTACACTACGTGGAAAATACCATTACAAGGATCACTGTAGCCACCATATTTATGTAAATCTTATTTCAGTGTGGTATAAACAAATGCCAAAACTACGTTTAAGTCGACGGGATTGAGTTTCTAAACGCTCACGTGCTAGCATTAATTCTCAGTCGCCTCCTAGGTTGTAGGTCCTTAGCATGACTGAGGAGTTCTAGAAAGAAGACACAACTGTATTGTGATATTGGATTCAGTGTTTGGCTCCTATATATCACTACCTCAGTCATGTTGAGAGATGCTGTTTGTCTTATGTACAATCTATTTACTTCTCATATTCGTTGTTGTATTCATAATTAAAGATGATCCTTAGCTATGTTTTTCGTTTGTAGGTTTGTATGTATTTACCTATGCGTTGAAACAGATTGATTAAGAACTGTTGATATTGACCGTTTCAGCTGTATGGCTGGAGAATCTATCCATGGTTACGGCCCAATGGACGTTGAGCTGGCTAAAGCTACACAGGCCTGTCTGGATACCGGAAGCGTGCTGCCTATAATAAAAGAAGAACTCAAATGTGCCATACAGAATAGACGTTTGGCGGAGGGCAAGACTGAATTAGCCGTTCAGTTCACACCTCCGACCAAACAGAAGGTGGGTTGATTAAAATATCTGTTCAATGTACATCTCGACCAAGCTGAAGTGGACTAATTCGATTTTTTGCGAGGAAACCGTGACTATGTTCTTATTTTACTTCACTCTGTTTATCCTTTGGTTAATTCTTGACAGGATAAAATCATCGTTTTATTATAGGCCTTGTATTTTCATTGGTAATGGTCGTTTAATTTTAGCTTCGTCCAGAAGAAATGGTTAAAAAAGAAAACAGAAGAGATCAGAACAGAAGGGCAGCCCGGAAGTTCCGTCAGAAACAAGCAGCTTCATTAAAGGAATTCCAAAAGGTAAAACCTACCTGGTAAACAATATACTTATTTATCTCACAATCAGCCAGTGATCTGATGAATGTTATATTTTTGGCCTATATGGTATGAGTGATATACAACGGATCGTTTTTTATTGGTTTCGCCAGTCAGAAATCGACTGTGATATCGTGATATGGACAATTACGTTACGTCATTAAATAAACATGGCGCACCTAAATTACCGCCGCGCTTTGAAGTTATCGACTAAGAATTTTTTTGAAAGCTGATCCTAACTTATCTAAAGTTTGCTTTCCTCCCGTATCATATGAAACACGTTTCGAAGTTTGATTTTTTTCTCGTCATGACTCGCAAAAATAAAACTCTCGAAGACATGTTTCATAAAACCTCACCTGGAATAAAATTTCGAGTTCTATGTGACGCGATGCTCCAAATACACGTACATAAACTTTAATGTATTACCAGACCCAATTTTAAAATAATTGGTATGTAATTATAGTAGGATGTGAGTATACAATAATGATATACACAAACAATTTTTTTAACCTTTCGTTACTTCTAGAGTATATATACTGTAAATAACGTTGTGCTATTATTTTATTACGTCCTTGGCAATCCGAGTAATCTATTTATGTATATATATACTAAGTATGACACATATGGAGAGACCGGACAGCGCTTTATTGCGTTTTCGTTAATATGAACGCAAAGGCAGTGTATATCGAATCAGTATTACTGGCAATAACAATGATATTTGTCAAAATGAATTCATGCTTTGATAATTGATACATCGAACTCATCTGAATCAGGATCAGTTCTGTGGATGTAGCCTATGCAGCTATGCATTAATATTGACCAAGTGTGAAGCAACTGTCGTTTTAGATTTCGGCACACGTGGGTATAGTGAGATAAAGTTAAAAGTGCAGTCGCGGAACAGGAATTTGTTAGCAATCTAGGGAGATCTATTGTTTTATGTAATTCCCTATCTCAGGACGCACCAGTGTAATATCGGAGAAATCGGTTATCTCACTAATAGTACCATAGCTAAGATATTGACATGGAAGCCTTTGGTTCTAAGACTAAGAATTAGGTGGTTAAATAGGCAGTCAGTGAAAGCCTCTGATATGATAACGTAGGTAGCTATTGATTTGCAAATCTTATTTAATTTTATCAATCAATATCAATATTACGTACATGTAGATTGATCACCATATCACCATGCTTGTTTAATACGCGAACTTGAGTCCCAGTTGCATTTCTACTGTTGTTGACCAATGGAATATTATATTAATATACACTAAATATAGACATACGAGTACAATATACATTTAATATATATATATATATATATATATACGAGTACACTATACACTTAATATAGACATACGAGTGCACTATACATTTGATATAGATATACGAGTACACTATACATTTGTTATAGATATACGAGTACACTATACACTTAATATAGACATACGAGTGCACTATACATTTGATATAGATATACGAGTACACTATACATTTGTTATAGATATACGAGTACACTATACACTTAATATATATACGAGTACACTATACACTTAATATAGACATACGAGTACACTATACATTTAATATATATACGAGTACACTATACACTTAATATAGACATACGAGTACACTATACATTTAATATATATACGAGTACACTATACACTTAATATAGACATACGAGTACACTATACATTTGATATAGATATACAGTACACTATACATTTGTTATAGATATGAGTACACTATACACTTAATATAGACATACGAGTACACTATACATTTAATATAGATATATATATATATATATACGAGTACACTATAACTTAATATAGACATACGAGTACACTATACATTTGATATAGATATACGAGTACACTATACATTTGTTATAGATATACGAGTACACTATACACTTAATATAGACATACAGTACACTATACATTTAATATAGATATATATATATATACGAGTACACTATAACTTAATATAGACATACGAGTACACTATACATTTGATATAGATATACGAGTACACTATACATTTGTTATAGATATATATATATATATACGAGTACACTATACACTTAATATAGACATACGAGTACACTATACATTTGTTATAGATATACGAGTACACTATACACTTAATATAGACATACGAGTACACTATACATTTAACATATATATATATATATATATATATATATAGATATACGAGTACACTATACATTTAATATAGATATATATATATATATAGATATACGAGTACACTATATATTTGATATAGATATACGAGTACACTATACACTTAATATAGACATACGATTACACTATACATTTAATATAGACATATATATACATTTAATATAGACATACGAGTACACTATACATTTGATATATATATACGAGTACACTATACATTTGATATAGATATATGAGTACACTATACATTTAATATAGATATATATATATATATACAGTACACTATACACTTAATATAGACATACGAGTACACTATACATTTGTTATAGATATACGAGTACACTATACATTTGATATAGATATATGAGTATGCTATATCTTTGATATTGATAAAGTAGTATACTGGTGTACTGTAAATATCACATAATGACTTGTTATTCATTTTGACAGAGAATCAAGCAATTAGAAGTGGAAAATGGAAAGTTGAGAATGCAAGTTAAACAGCTTACACAAAAGACAAGACACGGAAAACTACATGTCCATAATGCTATGTGTGGAAACATAGCCGAGCAGGATGTTCTTGGAATGACATAGACAGTAACACAATCTGCACCTGTTAATGGCCTCATGGCCAATCACAGCTGACGGCGTTACAATTAAGTCACTGTCTAACGATGTTCATCCAATAAATTATTCTGATTTATTCTTCCGAATTGCGTTACGTTACTAGTTACGTCCACTAGTTCCTATAAATGTTCATTATACTATGTGCGATTTTTGTGAGTTTAACTTATTTGTGGATTATGTAATGGTAATCGGTGTGTCTAAAAATCAGCTTCATACATATTATAACGTCTAGAATGATGATGATAAGTAGAATGTGATAGCAATACACAAACTATATATATTTGTATATGTAAATGTGTTTACGGGTCACCACTAGACATTTTAGGACCTTACATCCACACGGTAGTATACATAATCAAAATACCCAGTGGTTGTTCATTATCCCTAGTTGTTTTGTTGAAATTTTCCAATATTATACTGGAGTAATATACCTATATTACCTCATCTTAATGTCGGCGCCAGGGCCGTCTTTATAAACTGATGACTTCAGACAACAGAGGTATTGTTTAATAACGTTCCTTTAAAGTCTAATTTTAATTTGTTGAAAATGCAGTGTAATAAATGAGTGTTATCATTTCATTCGAGACTACTTGTGTTGTTATATTTTGAATGTTATACCTATATGTAATTATGTAGCTAAACCTGGGATGTTATTTACATAGTAGATACATAGAAGAACTATCATAAACACAAAGTTAAAAATACCAACATATAGAATACTTTGTTGTCTTAGCTGAAAAGGAATCTCCACAGGAGTTTAATTGCCGAGTTATCACCATGGCAGCTGAAAATGAAATTTAGACAACTTCAAACTCATCGCGACAGACCTAAAGAAGGTTTGAACATTACCCAGGTAATCTGTGTTGATATTACCTCCTGTGAATCAGAGAACTACTAATATACCAGTTTTATTGTTGTAAATACAAACCCATCGTGATAGAACAAAGGAGGTTTGAACATGTTACCCAGGTAATCTGTGTTGATATTACCTCCTGTGAATCAGAGAACTATTGAGGGTTTTATTGTTGTATAATACTCGCGGAAAAACAGATAACACCATTTATGGAATGTGTATCAGAAAAAAGAAAAGTTTTTATGAATCGCCTCATTGTTGGAGTGTTTCAGATACCCGTGTTGATAGGCTTAAAAAGTCCAAAAATTACTGCAAAATTTAGACAATTGTTCTCCTAGAAAAAGACCTATTGGAGGTGCCGTGACCAGGCACACCAGGGTCCTATGAGGTAAGCGATTTGCCAAGAAGACGGAACTATTTCCATGTGGTGGTAATCAGTATTGACTGTAATTTCAAAGTTGATCAAAGGACATTTCAGGTACTTTTTATCACTAATTTGAATATGTTGCTTATTTTATAATTATTAAACTGTATTCATAGAACAGGAATCTTATTTAGCAAAACACGAAATATACAACTATCACTCAAATATTGAGTTTGCAAAAATATAAAAAAAAAGTGAAGAACAAGTTCTTTTTACATCAACCAGATTTTCTAAGAGTCTGCGACAAATTTGATGTTTTGGATACTATACTACGTTCAGCTGACCTCAACGTATATCCCTACAAAATATTATGCTTACCTCTGATTGGTTGAGAAAGTACCTTATTTGACACCCTTCCATTGTACCAAATTATCAGCATTTCTATGAAGTTTTCGAGCTTGTTTCCAAGGTAGCAGCTGCAGCTTTAATCGCTTTAGTTTTAAGAATTAAACTCACACCTCAATGTTTCTCAATGTTATACTACAGGTATAATGTTCTGCTACAGGTGTAATGTTCTACTACAGGTGTTATGTTCTACTACAGGTATACTGTTCTACTACAGGTGTAATGTTCTAGTAGAGGTATAATGTTCTACTACAGGTATACTGTTCTACTACAGGTATAATGTTCTACTACAGGTGTACTGTTCTACTACAGGTATAATGTTCTACTACAGGTGTAATGTTCTGCTACAGGTATACTGTTCTACTACAGGTATAATGTTCTACTACAAATGTAATGTTCTACTACAGGTGTTATGTTCTACTACAGGTGTTATGTTCTACTACAGGTGCACTGTTCTGCTACAGATATAATGTTTTTCTACAGGTATAATGTTCTACTACAGGTATAATGTTCTACTACAGGTATAATGTTCTACTACCGGTGTAATGTTCTACTACAGGTGTTATGTTCTACTACAGGTGTAATGTTCTACTACAGGTGCACTGTTCTACTACAGGTATAATGTTCTACTACAGGTATAATGTTTTTCTACAGGTATAATGTTCTACAACAGGTATAATGTTCTACTACAGGTGTAATGTTCTACTACAGGTGTAATGTTCTACTACAGGTGTAATGATCTACTACAGGTGTAATGTTCTACAAGAGGTATAATGTTCTACTACAGGTATAATGTTCTACTACAGGTATAATGTTCTACTACAGATGTAATGTTCTACTACAGGTGTAATGTTCTACAAGAGGTATAATGTTCTACTACAGGTATAATGTTCTACTACAGGTATAATGTTCTACTATAGGTATAATGTTCTACTACAGTTGTAATGTTCTACTACAGATGTACTGTTTTACTACATGTGTAACGTAATGCTACAGGTATAATGTTCTACTACAGGTATAATGTTCTACTACAGGTATAATGTTCTACTATAGGTATAATGTTCTACTACAGTTGTAATGTTCTACTACAGATGTACTGTTTTACTACATGTGTAACGTAATGCTACAGGTATAATGTTCTACTACAGGTGTAATGTTCTACTACAGGTGTTATGTTCTACTACAGGTATAATGTTCTGCTACAGGTATACTGTTCTACTATAGGTATAATGTTCTACTACAAATGTAATGTTCTACTACAGGTGTTATGTTCTACTACAGGTGTTATGTTCTACTACAGGTATAATGTTCTACTACAGGTGCACTGTTCTGCTACAGGTATAATGTTTTTCTACAGGTATAATGTTCTACTACAGGTGTAATGTTCTACTACAGGTATAATGTTCTACTACCGATGTAATGTTCTACTACAGGTGTTATGTTCTACTACAGGTGCACTGTTCTACTGCAGGTATAATGTTCTACTACAGGTATAATGTTTTTCTACAGGTATAATGTTCTACAACAGGTATAATGTTCTACTATAGGTATAATGTTCTACTACAGGTATAATGTTCTATAACAGTTGTAATGTTCTACTACAGCTATTATGTTCTACTACAAATGTTCTACTACAGGTGTAATGTTCTACTACAGGTGTAATGTTTTATTACAGGTGTAATGTTCTACTACAGGTGTACTGTTCTACTACAGGTATAATGTTCAACTACAGGTGTAATGTTCTACTGCAGATGTAATGTTCTACAACAGGTATACTGTTCTACTATAGATATACTGTTCTACTATAGATATACTGTTCTACTATAGATATACTGTTCTACTATAGATATAATATTCTACTACAGGCGTAATGTTTTAGTAGAGGTATAATGTTCTACTTCAGGTGTAATGTTCTACTACAGGTATAATGTTCTACTACAGGTGCACTGTTCTACTACAGGTATAATGTTTTTCTACAGGTATAATGTTCTACTACAGGTGTAATGTTCTACTACAGGTATAATGTTCTACTACAGGTATAATGTTCTACTACCGGTGTAATGTTCTACTACAGGTGTTATGTTCTACTACAGGTGCACTGTTCTACTACAGGTATAATGTTCTACTACAGGTATAATGTTTTTCTACAGGTATAATGTTCTACTACAGGTGTAATGTTCTACTACAGGTATAATGTTCTACTACAGGTGTAATGTTCTACTACAGGTGTTATGTTCTACTACAGGTATAATGTTCTACTACAGGTGCACTGTTCTACTACAGGTATAATGTTCTACTACAGGTGTAATGTTCTACTACTGGTATACTGTTCTACTACAAATGTAATGTTCTAATACAAGTGTTATGTTCTACTACAGGTGTAATGTTCTGCTACAGGTGCACTGTTCTACTACAGGTATAATGTTCTACTACAGGTGTTATGTTCTATTACAGGTATACTGTTCTACTACAAATGTAATGTTCTACTACAGGTATAATGTTCTATTACAGGTATAATGTTCTATTACAGGTGTAATGTTCTATTACAGGCATACTGTTCTACTACAGGTATAATGTTCTGCTACATGTATAATGTTCTACTTAAGTGTACTGTTTTATCTAACTAGAGTTTGATAAACATTGAAAATAACCACCAGGTGTTAGGAAACGTGTTAGGAACGGCTTACATGTGTTTTAGACGACCTATAATTGTTTATTGTAATATGTTTGTACATAGAATACCTTTTTAATGTATTGTTTTTGTGTGTGTAGGATACACATTCAAATTAACCAATGTAACGATCATAAGCGGCGAGGCAGAACGCTAAACCTTCGGATGTGGAACATTCAACAATTGGTTGTTTTCAGGAAGTAAAAGGTGTATACTCACAGATGATGGTGATACAAAAAGTTCTCTTAACGATTTTGTTCAACGTCGAAATGATACTCCGAACATTTTTTGTCCGGAATTCTACTGTGTAAAAAAGTCACTAATTTGCAATTAAAGTGCGTGAATCCAACGTGTCATGTGGTGTGTTGTTTACATGAGATCAATTTATTTACACGAGACAAGTGTTCCTAAATGAATTTTTATAATTTTGTGTTTGTGAAATTAATTTGCAACGAAGGTAAGTTAAATTTTTACATATGGTTTATGTTCATGTTACGGTGGCGACAGTATACCAGCTAATTACTAGACCTAACCATGTCATTTACAGTATATATACCATATCATATATGAAAACTTTTCAACTGAGTACGATATTTCTTCCCTGAATGTTGAGTCAATGTTTTTTTTTCAGTTTTCTCTAGTCTTTGAGACCCGCGTTAAAGTATGATTTATAT